CTGGAGCGAGTATTCGACTAGCTACAGTGATTGGAGACACCGCAATTTCGTGCCTTTTCCCATATTTTGAGTTTGCTCTCCGCACTGGTACCACCGCAGGCAAGAGTATAGATATTCTAGCAGGAGAGCAGGAATGATAACTAGGGGATGCGGTCGTTCGCACGAGAGTACTGGTAGGAAGCGTCTTTGGATAGCAAGGTAATGAATTGGAAGCATGGGAGTTTAGGACACCACCACAAATGTACCTCTTCTTGATCCCACAAGAATCGATCATCGTTTTTCCTATCTCTTGTAGCATTGAATTGGTATTTTGCAAGACATTTTTTTAAGAAAATGATAAAATGTCAGTATGTTGACGCTAATCTTCGTTAAGTCCACACTGGAGGCAACTCAGAGCGATTTATCGGGGATTTTTTCGCTGCAACTGCTTGGATTTTGTGCTTCCATCCAGTAAGTCGTGAGAGCAAAGCCCATCACCCTTTCAAATATCTACAGCGGTGTTTTCAAAAACTGTTCACCAGTCAGTGACCTCAGCAAAAGTAATAATACATACCTGAAACGAAAAAGCGAGGAATCATAGGAACAGTTGTGATGAACTTTCCAACATAATTTTTTGACGTAAACTGCATTACGGGAAATAAGTGGACGCTACTTGACTGCCAGAGCTACTTGACTACTAATTAGTGTCTACAGGTGAAAATCAGAAGGTTGCCTTAAATTTTCACCGAACGAAGATCTGCCGATATTCATGGGTTTCAGCAATGTGCTCTCAGGAGACGGCAATATGTTGAGTGCGCAAATCGTTTTGAATACAGTGACTTATTAGTAGGAGCTCAGTCACAGCCCCCTTAAAGGCAGAGCAATATCACCAGTTTGCCTAGAATATAAGAGATGTAGTACTCATCCTCAGTGGGGCTTGGTGGGCGAGAACGGCAGCATGCGACACACTGCATTAGGGTTATGGAAACGCTCAGTTTTAGGACTGAGCCTCAAAGGAGAAGAGTGGCTCCGAAGTGCGTGAGCAACCTTTCTCTCCAAAATCGTCTCCCTCCGTAGCTCAGTTCCAGAACCTTCCTACAGACTGCACTCTCCCCCGTCCTCCCCCGTTTTGTAGTTACAAAAGAGCATTACCTAACGAAGAAGACAAACGCTGACTCTTAAGAAATATCCTTTGGGGAAGTTAATCCTTCATTGTGAACCACATCTACCTCTACAAGTCGCATTCCTTCAGGATTTCCGTAGTGACTCTAACACCAGTATAGCTGGGAGAAAGCTCGCCCCAGTGCGACATCTGTTTAAACGAGCGCGCGCGGGAAGTTTTTTCAAAGAGGCGAGCATCTCGGTGTATACCTCCGATCCGTCCCTCTTGCAACCGCTCAACGTCTTCATCTTCTTCTTTGTACTTCTTCCTCTCTGTGTTGAACGATCAGATTTCGAGGCTTACCTAACCGGCGCGCGTGCAAAGGAGCGAGAGCGCAGGCATGGCTTTGCTAGGCGGTTAAAGGCAAAATTCGGGATTAAATAGGGTGGAAAAGCGTTCAGTTATGAAGCTATAGGTGGGAGGTGGTCTGTAAAAGAGAAGGAAAGCAAACGAAACCACCGATTACGCCCCGTACAGAGACCTCCCCTATTCCAGCCACATTTTTTCCACATCACGGCACCGCTCTGTTTCACTCAAGCTCACAACATTCAACCCTTAACCGGGATAAGAGAAGAGAGCGCATCGGACGAGTTTCGCGAACCTCACACTTTCCAATAACCCTTAGACTGGGGCCCACTGTCCCAAACACACTGTCCTCGGACCTTCTTCCGCACATGTTCTGACTCTCCCACGCCTCAGCGCCCCCACCATCAACGTGGGCCCGAATGCGCACCCACACAACCCTGCATTTTCCACAGCAACGTCGCCTGCAATCACGTGGCTAACACGCCGAACACCTGACTAGCGAAGGGTGGGACACACTCCATATGCACCGGAAACGAAAGAGACTAATATGCACCAGTTCTGACGGCTGACGCCGCGTAATGCCGCAGAAGGCCCATTGCTTCGCGAATGTTGCCTCGTCTGCGAGCCTCATGTGCATTATACTGGCCGTGCTTAAAACAGGGGCGCACACCCGGGCTCAGACCCCACTCCCTACAACCCTACACTCACTTATTCGGGACTATTAACTACCATCCGCACTCAGCACCTCCTAAGCCTTATTCCCCACTCGTTTCCACACACGGCTTTTCCCGCTTACTCCCCACAGCTTTCGGTCCCACATCACATTGACCTACCCATATCGCCTGCGCTCACCACCTTCCAACACCCCGAATGGCGTTGCGACTTGAACATAATCTGGCTCAGGCTAAAGCATGGATACAGCAACAGCACATGACAGAGAGAGAAACGACGCTCTCAATCATGTTCGTCTTAAAAGTGGACGAGGCGGCATTGCCGTTATAGAACGATTAAACCGCTCTTTGACTGGACTAAATAAGTGCCACGCCTTATTAACCGAAACGAAAATTCTAAAGCGCGAGTCACACCGCATTTTAGACACTTGGAACCCGTAGCCTGACTTAACATAGCGGCTTATTGGTATTATTTCACCCTTACCACTAAAATTCTACGCCAAGACCGAAATTAACTTCCCAGAACCGACCGTCTCACAGTGGTATTCACGATCATTTCTCTACCGAACAACCATACTCCCCACCGAGAACAAACAAAAGACTGGTCGGTGATCCGGCAGGAATGCTATGGCGTGAGATTCGAAGATACGAATAAGACGGACGATAACTGGTACAAGAAAAACACACAGAACTGAAGAGCCTAATCCATCCCATAACAAGGAAACGCCGCGCAAGGATTCCGCCCCGAGAACCGGGCATCAGAGGTGGGTTCTATTATGCTTCATCACTGCATTCTTCATATGTTCGTCAGTATCGAGGCGCGTGCCCTTGTACCACTGTGCCTCAGCTCCATCCCAATCCGATGGCGCGACCGCATCCGACAGCCCCGTGCGAAGTGGGCGGCGTAATTACGAGCACCTGCGGGCGCCATGCCGCGCGAACTGTTGGGTTCATCCCCCCGCAAGAATCCGTCCGGCCTTGTGCCTTGTTCGACCGTAATCCGTATAATTCTGGTCATTCCATTGCGCCGTACAAGTCTGGTTCCCGTGCTTTTCCGACCCATAGCTTTGTCAGTTTCTGCATATACCCGCCCCC